CAATGGTTTTGGGGGAAATGTCAAGTTATGTCATTTCTCTGCTCAAAATCCTTCTATGTGGGCCAGCAGGTAGGGTGGTGGTTAGGGCAGTAGGATCCCACATGACCAACTAATTAAATGTATAAAATTAAAAAGAAAGAAAGAAAAGAAAAAGAAAATATGCCAGGCACCTGTGTGTACATGTTCAAAATCCAAGAGGAGAATGGAGGAAAAGGGATTGTGGAATGACCATCCCCTCCCACCCCTGTGTGTGTTCAGAGGGTTATTTCTTACTTTCTCTCTCTCTCTATAATCAGCACATGCACCCTATAGCAAAACAAAGAAGTAAGGCTCCCTTACGTAGTCACCTTTCTGACTACGTTTCCTATCTCATGCTTACTCTGGTCCAGTCTCCCCAGCTTCTCTGCATACCCTAAAACATACAGAGTGCTCCTGCTTCAGGCCCTTGATATCCCCTTTGCTAGAAATGCCTCTTGAGCAGATGTCCATTTAGCTGACTCTCTCACCTCTTCAAGAGATTTGTTCAAGTCTCAGTGAGGCCTTCTCTGAGTGTGGGACTCAATGCCACAGCTCCTCCAGCCCAACATTTTCTTTCCCTTCTGTTTTTCTGTTGCCTCTACTTTCTTCACATACTTTTTGTTTGTTTGTTTGTTTGTTTGTCTTTTGGTTTTTGCCACAGGGCTTCTGCACTCACTGGAGTGAGATGGAAAGAGAGGGGAAGTGAGAAGTCACCCCTTACAGGGGTCAGCTATGCTGCAATCCCTTCTCCTACATTCTTCTCCTGGGATTTTGGGGCATACACACACATGTGTCCAGTGTGATTTTTAAGCCACCAGGTTTGAGACTCAAACCACAGTCACGTGGGAGCCCAGCACCTAAGCCACCACGCAACCTACTGGCCCTTTTTGCACACACTCATCTCCGCCTCCCACACTAGGATGTAAGCTCCATTTGGCCAGGAGTTGTTGGTTTTGTTCACTTTGTCTGCCCAGCACCCAAAATGGGTCTGACAATCAGTGTTGACTGAGTACATAAACACATAGATTATTTCTGTCCCACAAGAGTTCTTCAGCAACCCAAAACATTTGGTCTACCCAAGTGAGTATCTCTGGATCGTACTGGATAAACATTCACACCACATGAGGGGACTTCACAGAGCTCACGGAGAAATGGGAATAAATCCCGAGCTTAGAGCCGACCTGAGGTATGGTGGTGAAGATGGCTGGGTCACACATGGCAAACTACATTGTTTGAGTACCACACCGGTGGCTTGGCTTGAGAAACACACGGGCACATGTGCTCACATACCCAAAACGCCGAAAGGAGGGGAAAATGGAGGAGAAAAGGACTGTGGCATGACCATTCTCCATGAGGGGATTGTTTTCTCACTTTCCCTCACATGCACTGTCTCCCTCAGTGAGCATATGTACCCTCTGGCAAAATTTTAAAAATCAAGTACAAGTTTATTTGAGCAAAAAATATTTACATATCTGTTAATATTTTCTCATAATACATGTTTTCCATGAACTTTCTGAAGGCCCCTCGTATATCCCTTTCCAGTTAGGCCTGAGTCATCCACAGCTCCAGCCTCACCTCCAGGTGCTCCACAGAAAAGTGTGAGTGGGAGCAAAAGGGGAGTTCCAACCTTGCCTTTCAGTCAGAACATTCTTACACCTTCCTGAGGTTCCAGTGAGGCATGATAAGTGGCTCTGTTTATTCAAGCACATATTTCAGACAATCTCTCATTTCTTCAGTAGCACCCAGAAAGCAACCAATCAGGTCAGAAACATTTGCTGATAATCCCGGTATGTGACCGGCATGTGATTCTTTTTTTTCAAAGACTGGCATAAGAGGAAAGTTGGAGACAGTCTCGCAGAAGGAGGTTGGAAAAGAAAAAGTAGGAGGAACAAGGTCTTCAGACCATGTACGGGACTGTCTGTACCATGGCCCCATGGACTGTCTGTACCAGAGCTCTGGGATGCAGAAATACAACGCTCGATGCTTGGCGTCAGTGTCTGATAAAATAACCCCATGAGAGCACAAGGGCTGAGGAATGTTCTGTGAGCCCAAGCTGACACGCTTCACCCCAGTGGGACAGTCTTCATCCTTTCATGCCAAGGTTTTACATTTATTCTGCATTTCTGAACAATAACCACAGTTACATCATTTATATTTATTGAACTTTTTAATAATCATTTTATTGAACTTTATTATTTATTTAAAGTTGACCAGAGAGGAACAGAGTGAGAGAGAGAGAGAAAGAGAGAGAGAAAGTGAGAAAGCAAGCCACTAGGTCCAGGATTCAAATTGCAGTCGGCCATGTGGGAGTCCAGTGCCCTTAGCCACCATGCCACCTCCTAGACCCTATATTTATTGAATTTAAAAACAAAGATCTACTATACATTCTAATCCAACTTTAAAACCCAACTTTAAGCATCAAGCAGGGCAAAGAGAAACACAATGTTTAAGAGAACAAGTCCTCCAGGAACTTGTGCTACAAGTGGATAACTCACTTTCAAGTGTCTGTAATTCATATCCAGCTCTTGTCTCAGGGAAATTCTTCCTCCACATTTACTGGGCTTTTTAAATTATTATTATTTTAAAGAGGTTTTTGCCTTAGGGCGCAAGCCCTCACCAGAGAGACAGACACAACAAGAGGGGAAGTGAGAAATCACCCCCCCGGGGGGGGGGGGGGGGGGATGGCCACACAGCAATCTCCTCTCCTCCATCCTCCTCCCAGGATCCTGTGCACACAACCACATGTGCCCATCATAAGTTTTAAGCAACTGGATCTAGGACTCGAACTATGGTCAACCATGTGAGAGTCCACTGACATAACTGTTACGTCATCTGCTGGTCCCATTACTGGGCTTTTAATGATCAAAAAGGTACCATTCTCCATGGAAGTATTTATCACAAGCAACCTCACACTACATTTACTAAGTACATATCAATTAAAGATAAGCCAGCAATGGGTTAACAGGTACTCATTCTTTTCCTGTTCATTAAAGCTGATCCTTGAAGGTGGCTCATAAAGCAAATCTAATTCCTGGTTTTTTTCTGGTTCTCTTCCAGGTTGAAAAAAAAAATAGGCATTAAAACAAGATTTTAATACTTTTAACTTGGGCACTGGCTGCTCCCAGATGTCTTGATGGAAGAGCAGATAGAGTCGTTTTCTCAAAAGTCCAGTACCTTTGGCAGCTCCATCCTTTCTAGTCTTCTCCTGGGAGTGGCGTGGAATGGAATGTAAACTTACACTTGACATATCTGGAGTGCCCTGTTTCCTCTCGGTCTCAGGGACTAGGTACACTGAGTTCACTTTCTGCTAGAAGAGACACTTTCTAAAATTCTTAGGAAAAAAAACTGTAGCCCAAAGAGGTTCACAGACTTGCCTGAGGGTTTGTGTTTGTAAAGTAGAGTGGGACAGGAACCCTAGTCTTTTCCACTAGTGAAATGGATACTCAGGATTTCAGACTTCTAGAAAATTCAACAATCTCATTTTTTTTTTTTTTTGGAGAGGTTTTTGTTATAGGGCGTGTGTGCTCACCAAAGACAGAGAGAGACAGAGAGAAAGCAAGAAATCACCCCCCCCAGGGGGGATGGCCATGCCACAATCCCCTCTCCTCCATTCTCCTCTCGGGATCTTGGGCATGCACACACACGCACCCGGTATTGAGTTTAAGCCACCAGGTCCGAGACTCAAACTGCGGTCGACTACACGGGAGCCCAGCGACATAGCCATTATGCCAACTGCTGGTCCCAACAATCTCAATTTAATAAACCCCAGTAAAGCCAACCTTCTGTGCCAGCAGGTTCTGCATTTTTAGTCTCAACTAATCATAGATTGAAAAAATGTGAGAGAAAAATAATTGTTTGTGGCATATTTTCCTGTCATTATTCCCCAAGTAACACAGTATAAAAAGTATCTATGTAACGTTTACATCATGTTAGGTAGTGTAAGTAATCTAGAGGTGATTAAAGTACACAGGAGTGGGACTGGACAAGGGGTAAAACACCATTCTGTGAGGCTGAGTCAAATGGGAAGGTTCTGGGCCTGGAGACCTACCCAAGTGTGCCAAGCGCATGTCCCCAGGTTCTGGGACTGGCTAAGGCCAGGGGTGGACAGAGGAGTTAAGGCCCTGTTGGGGCTGTTGTCTCTCTTCCTCTCATTCATGAGATGAAAAGCATACAGGAGGAAGAGCATAGGTTACCGCAGACACTGGACCATTTTACGAGGGACCTGATGCCCACGGACTGGCATCCCCATGGACACTGATGGATGACTATTTATTTCAAGGAAGGCATGATGCTAACTGCTTGGTGACTTCTAGCACCCCACCTTTACAAGTGGGGGTAAGCTTGGTAGAGAGGGGACCCAAGGCATGACAAGGAATCCATTTGGAGATTGTGGGTGGGTTGGGACAGACAGTATGTCCCAACCCACCCACAATCTCCAGAGGCCTCTGCCAAACTGCCTGGTCAGGGCAGTCTCCAGACAGTGTCAGGAGGAGCAAAGAGCAGGGGGGTGTCCCAGCAGCAGAGCCTCTGCTGTTGATGAAGCTGCACAGGCCCACGAGCAGTTGGAGCCCCCTCCCAGGGGTTATTACTTCCCGTTCTTGGGGAGCCAGGCCCCACCCAGCTGAGGTCACATTCCTATGGAGCACCAGAAGTGGCAACTGCGCCCTCCCTTGGCTCCTCTCTCCAGTGCAAAGCAGGAGAACCTTGTTAATAACCCTTCGGACTAGAGAGGACCCAAACAGCCCAGGGTACCACTTGTCTTCCCACTCCCTCCCTCTGCTGAACAGTGTCAGCTCTGCTTTGGCAAAGATCCAGGTGAAAGGTATAGTCACATTTCATTCCCATGAATGAATGTCCTAGGATCTCTTATAATTAACTCTCAATCTAGCCAACAAGATAGACGTTACATAAGTTACTATCTTATCTGGAGATGGTCAAAGTGTGACCCAGACTTGACAGAGATTTCCAATCAATGGTCTGACTCAAGGTACACAATCATCTGTTTTATTTGAACACATGTCTACACTGTATTGAGCATCAACACAGGTATGACCAAAAAACCCACAGCCCTGTCCCAGCAGGCACTGGGTCCAGTGTATCACTTGGGTAAACTATTTTTTCACAGTGGGCAGAGGGTGTGGTAAAGATAAGAATGAAAAAAATGGGCCTTCTTCCTAACTCCTGTTCAGGAATCCGAATGATGAAACTGAAAGCGATTTTAAACTCAGACAATGCTTCTAAAATCCCTTCTCTCAGTCAGCTGATGTTCAACTACGGACCCTGACCTGGGGGGTCAGCAGGATCTGCAGAACACAGACGCACTGTTTAAAATAACATCCACACATTACTGGGGAGGGGGGAGAAATGAGCTATGCTTCCAACTGCTAGTTTACGTTCCTGTTTTATGAACTCTTACAAGTTTAGAGGAACTCGGGATTGCAAAACCACAATCATGACAGAGCATCTGCTCAGTTTAAAAACTTTCTGTTTAGGAAAAAGAATTCAATGGCTCCATGGGAAGGGAAGAGCCAAGTTGGCTAGAACTGAGACAGAACGGCCCCTTAGGTTCCTTTATTTTGGTCTTTTCAGTAAGACTCCACAGAAAAATGTGTATGTCATAAAGATTGGTGATATCTTTTATTTTGGAATCAAGTCTTGAATCCCAGCTGCTTGTTAAAAATCAGCATTATACAAGATTACTTGTACTCCCCTTATCTTTGCTCTGAGTTACACATGCCAGAATAACACAGAAGGTTTCCTTCTGCTTAGGGATCCATGTGGTTCTTGATTTTAGGAGCACCTGGGCCTCTAACAGCAGTGGGCATCTGGCAACTTTCTTAGCATCCAGGACTGAAATCTCTATCTTCCAGAAGGAAGCAGTTGATCTGGTGGATCTGCATCATAAGAAAGGGAAAAGGCCACCCCTTTTACCTGGTTTCCCATCATAGGAGGGAGGCAGAATGGACAGCTAAGAACAAGCCTTTAAGTCATCAACTTTTTCCTGGAGCAGGCAGGAAAGCAAGCCTGGAGGCTGCCCAGTAGCCTAGGAGAAAACAAGTACCTTCCTCAAAATATGGACTTCCTATTTATGATTTAAGAATGCATATGATTGAATCTTTGAAATGATTTCTCTGGCCCTACAAAAGGCAGCTGCTCATCACATGTTATCCCAGTTTAGAATTTTTTTCTACATTATTCACACCAAATCAGGCTTAAAAAGATAGACCAAGCTAGATGGGAAAATGTGCATTTCAACAGATGGGCCACTGCAGAATGCTTGTGCCGGTTACCAACACGGCTCCAGATCCAAGGACTCCACTGATATAAATATTTCCAGATTCCTTCGCAATTTAACAATAACAGAGAATAGTCAAAACAAAGACATGATTATAGTTTCTAACATCCATTGAATGATAGTCTTAGTTACAAATCAGTTTATACAGTTTTGCTCCATTTTCTGTGCAGTTTGTCTTTTAAATCATTATAAAGGTCATATATAGAAAAATTTTCAAAAGGCAAATGCTTAGAGGAGCCAAGTCCTGTGAAGCATCTCTCTCCTCCAGTTACTTTGGCAAGTGGAAGGATCACCATAGAAGTCAGGTGGGTGGGCAAGTATTCCATGGGTCATCTTCTCCCACAACCTCAGGGACGCGGAGTCAGAAATTCCTTTGTAAAATATGCTGGCAGAAGACACATCCTTCAGCACTTTAGGGCCTGTGAAAACAAAGGGAAAGGTGATTGTCACTTCATTTACTGGCATCCTAAATAGCAACCCCATGAGTCATTGTTCCTATTGCCTTTTCTCTAAGTCTTCCAATCTGGAACCTGGTACCACTCTCTCCTCCCTCCTCACCCCTCCTCTGTACCCAGTCCTCAAACAGCCAGGATCAGATTCCCAGCATATCCAAAAAGGATACATCTATACCTGTAATGTCAATCATATTCTTTAACTTCTCAGCTGTATGCCACTTATCTGCTCTTCTCCCCATTTTGTATCATCAAATTTATCATCTCCCCAGCAGAAATAAGAAAAAGCTTCCCTCTGGGCATGAATTCCCATTTCTGAATTCTTAGGGAAATTTAAGATGGAGAAAATATTCCTTCACCTGTCCATAGTTGATGCTGGGGGTGGGCGAACACAGGTGGGGTTATGTGCAGGGCTGGGCTGGAGTACAAGAAGAATTCTAAATGAGAAAGTCTCATTCCAGGGGAAGTTTTCATCAGAAGGGGAACCGAGTCTGAGACAGGTACTTTTCCCAGAGACCACCTAGCCCTGATGGCTGGAGTCAGGGGGATTAGTTGTCAACTCAAAATTTGGTTTGGAATTTCTTTCTTTCAAGTTCAATTAGTTAGAAAATTAAGACAAAAGGTCAAATGTGGTCAAATCTCAACAAAAGTCAACATAATAGCTACCTCCGACTCTCAAGCTTTTTGGGGGGAAACTTACAAGGCCTAGGGCAAGTTCAGGTATAATAACTGGAGACTTACATCTGAAGGTGGCTTTTGAACATAACCTTTATAGAAAGGTTTTTATTAAAAAAAAAAAAAAGTCTGCGCTCTAGACATCACCACCTTCATCGACTTATCACATGGGTGTGAGTTATTTACTTACGAGTACCTTCCCGACATTTTTCGTACGACCACAATGATGATCCCACCAATGAAGCCAATGGCTAGTAACACTCCAACTATGATTCCAATGAGGGTCACTGTTGCCAGACCATCTGGATGAGAGGGAAAAAAGCAGGAGCCCTGGTCAAAAAACACATCTATGATAAAACATGTCATGTGTAAATGTTGCCAATGCCCTACGATACATAGCAAATAATGTTGTATGTTGTTTCTCCCACATCCAGTGAAAAGTGGACTTATAAGAGGAGAAAACTTCAGGCTATTCTAACCCTATCTTATGAATGGAAAGATTTCTGAGTCTCAGGATCTATTAACACTCATCTCGGCTTCACTATTATTGGGTAGTGTTTGTGTAAGACTGTGAAATTAGCCTCCAGTTTCATTCCTAGTAACAATAAATTATGATACCATTCTCCATAGCTGTCATTGACAGTTTCTCCCCACCCACCATCCCAAACATAGGGAATTCCCTCTTCTCTCTCAGAAAGAAAAAAAGAAAAAGGTTGGTCTGATATCTGATCACAGAAAGTTTTCTATTCCAGCTCAGCCTTCATGGCACAGTAAGAACTACAGTGTTAGAAGCCACATGGCTGATCACCGGTTCAAATCTCTGGCATGGTCTCAACCTGAAAACCTGTCAGGTGCATGTGTGCCTAAGATCCTGAAGAGCTGGAAGACTAGACAAAGAAAATCATGAAGTGACAAGACCCTACTGAGGCTGCTTTTCTCTCTCTCTCTTCCTCTTTCTCTATCACGGATAAAATAACAAACGTAGGGGAAAAGAGGTTTTCTATCTGCTCATATTGACTTATGATCCAGAAAGAATGTAATTCATCTCAAAGATTAGGGTCAAAGAAAATTTTTAAAACTCACTTAGGAATATGTTGGTACCAAAATCTAGCATACCTTTCTCAACTGTTGTCTGTGTCTCTCCACCCACTTTCTCTGTAAAGAGAGGGATGTAACAACATAGAATTATTAGGATTTAATAACTATAATTTAACAATTGGCAAGAGATGAATTTAACCTAAGTGAGAAGAAGCAAAACATAAGCAAAGAGGATAATTTCTTAAATAATGGGGGATTTTTTAAGCAAGATCTGATGTGATGTTGTTGTAGCTATTATTACCAAATTTACAGATGCTTCTTCAAACCTATGGGTTCACAGGACTTCTGGATACATTCCTTTTTCTCATCCAATTTAGAAAGCAGAGTCAAGGAAACGAAGACATAGATCTTAGAGAAATGGTCAAAAAGTTTCAGGGGTTAAGGTAGCAAAACCCAGAATCCCAAACAATCTAGATTCCTAGTCTGATGTTAAGACAATGAACAAATCATACTATGGCAAAGCCTAGTACTTATTTTGAGAGTAAAGCTCTCATTTGTAAAGATGTGTTCAAGATGAGGTATCCTGACTCGTGATACCCACTCCCTGCTTCTTTTTTGGTAGTAAAATCCAGATGTAAGGACGGCAGTATGTCCTGCTAATTTAATGAGAATATACCTACTGTGTTTGTGCCTCTTTTCTTTGAGTGTTTCTATCTGCAGTCAAACCTAATCCATACTTAAAATCCCTATTTTAAAGTAAAGGTGTTGGGTCGGCCTCTGGCATCCAGTTAAGGTAGCTGGATCCTACAGGGTTGACGGTGCAGTTCGAGTCCCAGACCTGGTGACTTGAAAAACACACTGGGCATGTGTATGTGTATGCCAAAATTCTGGGAGGAGAAGGGATTGTGGTGTGGCTCCTGGGGAAGAGGAGTGATTTCTCACTTTCTCTCACTCTCTCCCTGTCTCTCTCCAGTAAGTGCATGTGCCCTATAGCAGAAAACTAAACAAATAAAAATAAAATAAAAACCAATGGATGGGGAATGCATGTTTCAGAAATAAAGTACTCAGTCCCTTCCCTGACTCTGCAATCTAGCAGAGCATTTACACAGAGCTCAAACTGCCTGTGCTATTATTGCACCATGGAAGGGATTGAGAGACTGCTGGGTTTGGGCCTTCCCAGGACAAAAATGTCAGTGAATCAACTCTCAAAACATCATCTCTGGCTGTCAATTACCAGCAGAGATGAGCTACTCATTTGCTTACCATGTCCTAACATGGTGGCTGCCAATTCCAGGCATATTACACACCATTATCACCATTAAACTCACCATCGGTGTGAAAATAGGTTACCAACAATAAAATTTGTGGGAGATTTGTTCTTGGTCTTAAGCTCCTCCGACCCTTCCTGATCACACTGCCTGTGATTGTGCGTGTCATACATGTGAATGTCATTAGACTTGAATGTTTCATGGGAAAATAAGACATCTGCTATGCTAAAGTAATTGCCTCTTATAAAACAAGTGCTTGTAATGACATTTTAATCTTATGTGAAAATATCTTAGGGGAATGATGTGAAACGAAAATGTGCCCCAAGTCACACTTTTTTTGTAACAGGGTGGGACAGGGGACAGGAAAGGAGAATAACAGTGATTATTTCCCAGGCAACTGAGATTTTCTTTTGTTTTTTTCTTCTTTTTCAGGAATAGAAGAGAGGTATTCTGGTATGATAGAAAGAATCCTCAATGTGGAAGGCTCCATTAGAAAACAGAGCTATTAGTTAGCTGTCGATCCATATTAAGAGAGGGTACAAACAGATTTTTAAAATCAGAAGTGCTACAGAGTTTTTAAAACCAGATTGGTAAATGAGTCTGAGAATGTACATTGGACAACGAAGAATAACTTTCTAGATGTCCAAGTGTGCAGCTGGTTTGGGGATCTATTGCTTTAGCCATGGTCTTTATGTTCACTTTCATTTTACACATGGAAATGTCAGACCTATCTAGACAGTTAATAGTATAAAATTTCTGAAGATGTCAAGCATTCAATGAAGTTACTGTAGGATTAATTCTTTATATTTACCACCTCTATCTACTACTATAAGATAAAGCAGGATCCCAAGAGGAGAATGAGGAGAAGGGGTGAAGGGGTTGCAGTGGGGCCATGCTCCCTGGGTGGTGATTTCTAGCTTTCTGACTCTCTGTTTCTCTGGTGAGCACATGTGTCCTATGACAAAAATCTCTCTCTTCCCCCAAAAAAGGATTTACATGGGTTGAGTTTTGTACTTTTGAATGTCAACAAAAAATTTTGTTTTGTTTTTTTTTTTTTTAGATTTTCTATTTTTATTTTAAGAGAGATTTTTGCTATAGAGTGCACACTCACCAGAGAGACCTAGAGAGAGAAATAACCCCAGGGGTGACAGAAAGCAAGAAATCACCCCCCACCCCCCAGGAGTGATGGCCATGCTGCAATTCCCTCTCCTCCATTCTTTTCTTGGGATCTTGGGTATGCACATGAGCTCTGGGTGTGAGATTTAAGCCACCAGGTCTGGGACTCTAACCACGGTTGACTATGTGGGAGTCCAGTGACAAAACTATTACACCATCTGCTGGTCCCCAACACAAAGTTCTTAATGTAGCATTATATTGGCTTCAGGTCAGCAAAACATCTGCAGCTACTTAACTCACCCTTGTGGGTGCATTATTACTAGTTCTCATTCAAGATAGAAAGAATCAGTGACCCAACAAATGGAATTTCATTCAGCAACTCAGTAAATTAAATTTGGAATCTACCACATAAAGCTTGGTTCAGAATTTATTCTTGTATTCCAGTATGTTTCCTATTGGTTATTATATTTGTTCGTGCACTTTTGGAATGCACTGATTATGCAAAAATAAATCAATCCTAATTAGGGGGACTGGTTTTTCTTACCCCTGGATTGACTAGTCACCACATTTGGTGGTGTAGTGCTCTGGCTTTCTTCTTGGGCATGGACCGTGCTTTCTTGGGTTGGCAGATCCTCGACGTAAGTATCAGTTACACTCTCCACACTTGTTGATACCTATTGAAGATGTAAGTGAGGCAAAACAGAAAGTAAAACCTAATGTTTAAAAATATATCCTCTACCTTGCAATAGGACGGAACTTAGGGTGGTGTAAATCTATAAGATATACGATGGCATAAAATGAAAGTAGAAACAAGAAAACAAAAAGAACCAATAAGGCTGGGGACAAGAATAAAACCAAGTATATGCTAGAAATGAATACCAGGTGTTTAACATGCTCATTTCCTGAGGACTTCATTCTTCCAAAAACATTGGATTACCAGGTTTCTAAACGGCACTATTTCCCTGTAACATTTATGTGGCACATATTAGGTTGTGTGATCCTTTAATGCTTACCCTCCTCCAATTAAGGGTCATAGCTACCCTTCATTGAGTGCTTACTATGGGGCATACCCTTGAATGCATTCTCATTTACTCTATTCACAAGAATGAATAGATTTTTATTGTTAGTCCTACTGTATGAACAAGCCTATGTGAGCCCAAACTTACATAGCCAGTAAGTGACAGCAGGACTTGCAGGTGATTCTGTTGACTCCAAAGTTTATGCCAATGTAAGAAAGATCCAACTATGTTAGTGAACACAGGGAACAAAAGCAAAAATAGACAAATGGGACTACATCAAACTTTTGTGCAAAGGACACAATAAATAGTGAAATGGCAATGTATTGAACGGGGAAAAACTTTGCAATGAAATATCCTATAACTCAAAACCAAAAATCTCAAATAACCTGATTTTAAAAGGGGTACTGGGCTTTAGCAGGTGGTATGGAGGTTAAGGAGCTGGATCGCACATGGCCAACTGTGTTGTTCAATTCCCTGACCCAGTGGCTTGATAATCACACCAGGCACATGTGCATGTATGGCCAAAATCCTAAGAGGAAAATGGTAAAGAAGGGATTGCAGTGTGGCTATCCCCTCTGCAGGGGGTGGGGGGTGGGGTTGGGAGCGATTTCACACTTCCCTCCCTCCCTCTCTATCTCTCTCTTTTTCTGGAACTAGTGAGCATATGAACCCTATAGCAAACAACATTTTAAAAAATAGGAGGGCAAAGGACTAGACATTTCTCTAAAAGATGATATACAAATCATATGCAAATGGCCAACAGGAATATGAAAAGTTGCTCAGCATCAGTAATAGGGAACAGTGACTAACGCAAATCAAAATGCCAATGATATTATGTCTCACATACATTAGGATGGCTACTATCAAAAAATCAGAAAATAACAAATGTTGGTGATGATGTGGAGAAATTGAAACCTTTGTATACCATAGGATAATAAACTGGTGCAACTGCTGTGGAAAAGTGGATAGTGTTCTGAAACAATTGAAAACAGAACTAACTGATGATCCAGTAATCTCATTTCTGGGTATATACTCAAAGAACTGAAAACACATCATTACAGCACACCTGTACAAAAGTGCTTCATAGCACCATTTAAAATAACCATTAGGCAGAAGCAACCCTACATTCATCTACAGATGACTAGAAAAACAAAATGTGGTATATATATATACAATGGCATATCATCCAGCCTTAAAAAAGAAGAAAATTCTGATACATGCTACAACATGGATAAACTTTGAAGACATCATGCTCAGTGAAAAAAAAAAAAAAAAAAACAGTTGTGAAAAGACAAATATTGCGTGATTTCCCTTATAGGAGATACCTAGAATAGTCAAATTCATGGAGACAACAAAAGAAAAGTGGTTTCCAGGAGCTTGGGGGGGCAGGGTGAGGGAGGAGCAGTAGAAAATGGAAAGTTAGTGTTTAATGAATATAGAGTTTCAGTTTTGCAAGATGAAAAGGACCTGCAGATCTGTTTCACAAAGATCTAAATGTATTGTACTCAATACTACTAAACTGTACACATAAAAATGATTACAATGGATCAGTCAGAGAGGTACAGCAATAATGCAACAGTTTGTGATGCTAAGGCCATATGATCTAGGTTCACATCCTGTGGTCTTTCTGTGCATACTGGGCACACAAACAGCACATGCCCACAATCCTGGCTGGCTGAGGTTAGGGGTAAATCACAGTGTGAAGACCTGTTCAGGGTATCTGTCTTCCTCTTTTTTTTTTTTTTTTTTTCCTCTCTCTCTCTGTCTCCCTCTCTCATGAGAGAAATAAATAAACTTTTAAAAGAGGTTAAAATAGTATGTTACACTTTTCTTTCTTTTTTAAATAGGTATTTTAGATTTTTTTTTTATTTCAAGAAAAGCAGTTTTAGATTTAATAAATCAAAGAAATGCTAAGGAACTTTGCTTAAAACTCAAAGCCAGAAAACAGGTTAGGATTCTGTTCAAATAGTAGGTACATGAACCTATCAGCAGCTCAATTCAGGACAAAAATCTTTAAACTGGGAAACAAAGCCTAGAAGAAAATCAGCAATGTTTTAGTCAGAAGTCACAAAATTCTATTTCACCGGTTCAGTCTCATGTACTTAATCTACTTTCTGTTGTGGTCTGATCTTCCCAATTAAATTCTGGGATATAATATTCAACTCCAGACTCATCCCTATGATTAAGTTGGCCATTTTCTTAGTTCTTGAACTCTTATTTCTGTGTATCTCTACTTAATTTTCCTGGTAGAGCACTCCCTTCAGAACTTCTTGGAGATCTGATCTGGTGTTGGTCAATTCTTTCAGGTTTTGTTTATCTGAGAATGTTCTTGTCTTTTCTTCCCATTTGAAGGATAATCTTGCCAGGTACAGTATTTTTGGTTGAAATTGCTTTTCCCTTAACACTTTGAATATATTTTCCTATTCTTTCCTTGCTCATATTGTTTCTGATGAGAGGTCCACTGTTAACCTAATAGGATATCCTTTGTAGATAACTTGACGTTTCTCTCTTGCCAATCTTAGTATCTAGTGTTTGTCTGTGGTTTTGGTCAATCTGGCTATAATGTGTCTTGGAGAAGATCTTCTTGGGTTTATTCTATTTGGGGTCCTTTGTATTTTCTGAGACTGGATCTTTGAATGCTTCTCTAGGTTTAGAAAGTTTTCTTCCAGGATTTCATGGAATAGATTATCAATGCCCTTATGAGTCTCTTTGCCTTCTGGGATACCAATTATCTGGATGTTTGGAAGTTTAATGGTATCTAGTATTTCTTATAGATTATTCTCATTTTTGGGGGGCAATTTTCTCATTCTTTATGGTGGATTTTTCTAGGCCAGCGATTCTATCTTCTATATCTGAGATTTGATTTTCTGTGTTATCAAGTCTGCTTATAATACATTCAAGGGAGGTTTTGGCTTCCTGTATTATAGCCTCTATCTCTAAACAGGTCCATCTGATTATTTTTATGGTGTTTATTTCCTCTTTCAGATCTTGCAAAATTTCCTCATCTCATGGAACTTATCAGCTCCTTTCTCCTGCCTTTTCTGTAGTTCATTGTTTCTCTTCTCTTCCATCTCTGTTAGCTTTGTCACTATGAATACTCTAAATTCTTTATCTGACATTTCTGTGAGTTTCATTGTACTGTCTGAGGATGAAGAGGAGTTATTCTTTTCCCTTGGAGGAGAGGTATTTTCTTGTTTTCCCATATTTCTTGTGACCCTGTGCTGATTTCTGGTCATCTGATGGATGATGCGTTTCTTCCTAATTCTTGAAGTTCAATCTGAGTGTTCAGAGGTGTGCAGGAGGAGGTGATATGCAATCTCTCTTCCATTCCATTTGCCACTCTTTGTGCATCAGATTCAGTGGGAAGTGAGGAATATTCTAACCCTAATCATATTCAGATGTTTGGATCCTATTTACTTGGACCTGTCTAGACACTCAGTGCATGGAAGTAGAAATGAATCTGGAGGAAGAGGTCTCAGCAGAAAATCTTTATTTTTAGTCCATGAAAGCAATCAAGTTCAGTAGCCATTTCAAGATGGGCCTGGGTTTGTACTTTTCCCACTAGAAATGAATCTGGAGGGAAAAGTCTTAGCAGCAGATCTTCATTTTTAGTCAATGAAAGCAGTATTTCACAGCTCAAGTTCAGCAGCCATCTCAGTATCTCTTCTTTTTGTTTTAATCACAACTTCAAAGCTATGAGTACCTATTAGGAGTCTAGCATAGTTCTAAGCCCTGGGGATATAATGTGAGCAATATAAATTCCGTGCTTTCTTGAAGCTTACCTTCTAGGATGGGGTGGCAGGGCATAAAATATTTAACATGTAAACAAATACAAAATGCCTACTTAGGTGACTTTCAGTGCTTTGCAGAAAATGCAAGCTAAGGTAATAGGCTAGAACAATTGGCAAACTTTTTTATAATGAGGACCAAGTAGTAAATCATTTCAGCTTTGCAGGGCATATTGTCTCTGTTGCAACTACTCAATTCTGCTCTTACATAGTACAACAGTACACAGACAGGGCTGCATAAGGTGGCTGGATCCCCCATGGCCGACCACGTGGTTTGGTTCTGGACCCAGCAGCTTAAGAAACATGTTGGATGTATGTGCATACATGCCCAAAAGCCCAAAGGGAAATGAAAGAGAAGGGACTGTGGCGTGACCATGTCCCATTCAGGGTGCTTTTCCTCTTTCTCTCTTACCCTGGCAAGCATACATGACTTCTAGCGAAATTTAAAAAAAAGAGATAAAAGAAAAGTAGTCACATATAATTCTCAATCAAATAGGCATTGCTATGTTCCAGTGAAAGTCTCTTTACAAAAACAGTCTGTGAGACAAATCTGGTAGTAATTTGCGGACCTCAGCAGTACAGAGTAACTCCTGGGGGATGAAGAGGTGGGATTATTTTAGGTCTCCTTAAGATAACACTGACCTTGGGACCAGCAGTTAGCATAATGGCTATGTCACTGGACTCCCACGTAGTCGACCATGGTTTGTGTCCCAGACCCAGTGGCTTAAACTCATGCCAGGTGCGGGTGTGCATGCCCAGGATCCCGAGAGGAGAATGGAGGAGAAGGGACTGCAGCGTGACCATCCCCCCTGGGGGGTGATTTCTTGCTTTCTGTCTCTCTGTCTCTCTCTGTCTGACTGGTGAGCGCACACGCCCTATCGCAAAAACCTCTCCAAAAAAAAAAAAGATAACACTGACCTTGAGGATCACAAGAAGGAAAAAAGAATCAGTCATGGAAAGATCTGGGAAGTATTCTGGACACAGAAAACAAGTCTAAGTTGGAACCAACTTGGTGTGTTCAAAGGTCACAAAAACCAACAAGGTCAAGATAGATAAAGCAAGGGGGTTAGTGGTGCATGAGGTGCGGCAGGCAGGAAGGAGCCTCTGTCCTGTTACAAGATTATAAACTTCTCGAGGGTAGAGGGTGTGGCTCCTCAAACTCTCCCAGTGCCTGGCATCTCATCTTGCCTCAGCAGACGCTTAGGACACAGATGAGTTCATTAAAATTCATTAGGGTAGGAATCTTCAATTGAAATTCTCCCCAGCTTATGCCAGTGCGGTTTGTGAGCCAGTTCCAGTCCATGTTTATTATCGCTCTACAATGAAATAACAAACTCAGAACATATATTCACACGCCTTTACAGCAATGATAGTGCTGGCACAGCTAAGAAGACATTTTCTGCTTTGAAAATTAGCATGTAATAGATTGAAAATTCGAAGATCTGGGTCATCAGTTTAGAAAGCCCTGGTCTGTACTCTCAAATCACCTGTGATTACCACATCACTACCTGCTGACTGGGTGGAATTGCGAAGCAAGCTTTTATGAGCCACATAACTATTCCTTCGTATGGTGGCTTACACTGATCTTATATAAGCATTTCATATCTATTTATGCATGTATACACACACATACATACACATATACATGTATGCATACAGCTCATATATGTGCTATCTATTAGATATTTTGAAAAATTTAACATGTGCTGTGTTTTATATCTATGCAATGTGTGTGTGTGTTGTGTGTGTGTGTTACATACTTATAAATTTATATTTATTATATCCTTGCATGTGATCATAAGCCTGTGGAACAAATTTTCTCTTCCCAGGAACTCACCGGAGTTGTCAAGCCAGGAAACTCATAGGGCTCTTTACTGGCACCTGTGGTCACCAGTTCATCCTCTGCACCTGGGGCTGTCATGGCATCTTCTGCAGCTGGGGTCACCATGTCATCTTCGGGCCCGACTGTACTGGCTGAAGAAGAAAGATCGAGTCCAGACTTAAAGGGCCATTTGTGTGGGCAGATCTAACTGGCCTGCTACAAGTAGGTTATTTTCTTTGGTGGATTTTATTTAACTTTTGGTCATTTATATGGCTTACCACAGGGCCAGAACACAGACCATTTTCCTGTTAACACCTCTGGTACATACAACAGTCTGGTTGTCTCTACCACAAAGCAAAGATGGAAACACAAAAAAGATGGAACAGCAGCCCCTCCTCGTCCCTCTAAGGCTGGACAGGGGACCCACCTTTCCCTTTCATTAAGGAAGCATTTTCATCCTAGTATCATTTCATAGGATGAATCAATACATGCAGGTTAATAGAGTATCATTTAGACCTGGAAAAGTTCTAAAGTCAGAATCACCTGGAAAGCTTTCTAAACATGTATTTCTGGGCTTCACACAAATTTACTGAATCACTATGATCAAAAGCATGGTTTCAGGGGCCAGCAGGTGGCATGATGGTTAAGGCCCTAGATCCCACCTAGCCAACTGTGTAGTTTGAATCCCAGACTCAGCAGCTTGGAAAACATACTGGGAATGTGTGCACATGTGCCCAAAATCCCAAGAGGAGAAGAGAGAATGAATTGTGGTATGGCCATAACCCTTGGGTAGGTAAGGTTAATTTCTCACTGTCTCTCTCTCTCCGGTGAATGCATGTACCCCATAGCAAAACTTAAACAAACAAACAAACAAAAACAGGGTCTTTAAAATCTAAGCTCTCGTCATTTAATTTTCTGTTCACTCAGATGATTAGAACTATTCGTTGCCCTGACCACAGAGCCTCAATCAATTTCATGGAGTCCTACCTCTTATTTTATAGTTCGGGTTACTCTCCACAGAGCAGCATTGGAAATGTATTGTCCTGAGGGATGCTGATACAAACAGACCTCTTAGTAGACCAAGAGCTATCTGTACTAAGACCTTACTGACCCTGGCCTTGGCTTTTCTGCATTATCATTTGGATGAAGGACCCCGTGATACCAGTGAGAACATTTCCAGGGGTCACGGGGGACTGTGGGGTGAAATAGTGGGTTGAATTTCACAAAGGAGGAGAGGCAGTATCCTCTTGAACTTCTGCTGTAATGACCCAACTAGTCATAACTGCGCCCTAGCATCATCTCTTAACTCGCCAAGTAACCCTTTTCGCGAGTTAAAAACTTGACTCATTGGCTGTGGGCTTCCTCTCCAGACTCAAGTGGCTCTGGAAATTCCATGACTAAATACAGTTGCAAAATAAGCAAGCATACACATCCCAGGAGCAACAGGGAGAGGTGCTTAAGAGACTTCTTTGTGTAATTAAAGAGCAGATGTTTGTTTATATGTAGGCAATAAATTAGCAACCCATTCCTTGCCTTAAGATACCTTATTTTCCCTCTCTGCTTTAGACAGCCCCACCAAAGGCACAGCTAATAAATATTTGATCATAACTTCTTTGCTGACGCCTAGAGGGAAGAAGCTTCTAGAGTAAATCTGCTTGTTCTATGAGCCCTGTCTTTCCATCTGGAGTCCTAATCCAGTTACTGATAGACGGCTTTGTGTGAGCTACCCAAACACATGCATTTATTTTTTATCCACAGAGGGAAAGGCTTTCATCAGTTAGCAATAACTGCATACCTCCGTGCATGCAAATGGCTTGCCTCCCCTTGTGGTCGGTTGCTGGGGTGGGGTGAGGGCAGTCATTGGCTCTCACAAGGATTTATGACTCTGGTGCAGGCAAACGTATTTATTGAACTCAAGGGAAAACAGCCCTTTGTTAGGCAAATAGTACTTATTAAAAAAAAGAACCCTTTTCTTTCTCCCAGATTTGAACTCAGTTAACAAATCATCCATTTTTAAAATATTTTCTGGAGCTGTTCAGCAAAATTACTTACTAGATGACATCTCTAACTTAAACAAAAGCAAACTACCCTTGCTTTTACAAGAAAAAAAAAAGGCAAGTTCTGAATGAGGTTCGTTTGCATTCTTTCATAGAAAGCTCAGTTCATTGAAAGCGTAACTTGATAAAAATTCCTTCTTGTTCTTTTCTACCCTTGGCCTACAGAGCCAAGTCCTAACATCGCTCTGAATAGACAAAGGGTGTTTTATGAATGACAGTCAGGATTAAGATGCATGTCTTTTGTCTCACTGCCCTGGCATTCTTTTTGCTCCATGGGAAAGTTGATCTTTAACAAGAGATCCTCAATTGTCCCTCTTATTATTTTGGCTAAAGGCATCCCTGGGTGAAGAGTTCCTCTGAGGCCAGCTGCGGAGTTTCCAGCCAGCGTTTGACGGCCTTTTCCCTCTACTTGTGAAATTTAGATCATGAATTGTTGCCTTTGCCCTCTAGTTCGGTTTTTCCTCCCAAGCCAAGTGCACACATGCAAGGATACCTTGTGTACACACACAGCCGTCTATATAAATGCAGAGTGATGGACTTTGAACATAAGCCACTATTCACAGGATGGCGGGGGCTTGTTCTAGAGGGTCTACCTTCATGCTCACTAAACACCTTTACCTGCCACACCCAGCCCCAGCCAGCCTGTGGGGCAGGATCAATGGAAGTTTCCAAAAACAGCGGCAGTCAGCAGCCCACATATTTGAAATTGTTGTTCTTGTTATTCTTTTAAAAAGCTAGGCCAAAGTTTGTATACCTATGAGAAGATGGTTTGATAAATCAATTTTACCTTAAGGTAAAACAAGTAAGAACTTAAACAATGAAAACAAATAAGAACTTAAGCAATGTTTATTTGTACTTCTTTTTAAAATTATTTCATTTTTACTTATTATTATTTTTAAATTTGCTATAGGGCATGTGTGCTCACCAGAGAGAGAGAGAGAGAGCGAGAGAGAGGGAGAGAGGGAGGGAAGCAAAGTGAAAAGCAAGCCACCAGGTCTGGGACTTGAACCACTGTCAGCCACATGGTAGTCCAGCACCTTAAACATCATGCCACCTGCTGGCCCCAGCAATGTGTATTAGAAATGAAGTGCTAATTATGAATGATTTTTATCTTCACATTAGTTTATAAACTCTAAAGAAATTATTGTACTTTAAATACATATATGGGATGGCATTTCTTTTCTTTCTCTTTTTTTAAATTGCCAGAAGCAGAAAGTAAGAAGTGAGAAAGAGAAAAGGCACCCCATCCAAAGCAAATCCTATAGTCTAGTGGTTAAGGAAGCTGGATCCCTGGAACACTTACTTAAGCACTTGGGGGGGGGGGTTTCTTCCTTCCTCTCTCTGTTTCTCTCTAGTGAATGCCCATATCCTCTAGCAATTAAAACAGTGGAGCAAGTCACACCACAATCCTTTCTACCACTTCCCCATCCCTTCAGGATTCTGGGTTCATGTGCTCATGCACCCAGCATGTTTTTTCAAGCAGCCAGGACCAGCAAGCGAACCATAGCTGGAGCGTGGTGCCCTGCTATCTATGTCCAGCTGTGCTTAGGGGCCTACTTATATTGGACAGAATTTCTTTTTGCTTTTCCTTAGGTTTTTGCCATAGGGTGTGTGCACTTGCTGGAGAGAAACAGGGGGATGGCCATGCTGCAATCCCTTCTCACTCAGTCTGCTTTTCGGATTTGGGGTACACGAGAACACATGCCCTGAATAATTTTCAAGTCACTGGGTCTGGGATTTAAGGTCAACCATGCGAGACCCAGCTTCTTAACTTCCACGTCACCTGCTGGCCCTATATGTATTCTTTATACCTTATGAATATGTTCTTAAGACCAGCAGATGGCATACTGGTTCCATTACTGGACTCCCACATGGACTCGCACAGGGCTGACTGCAGTTCAAGTCCTGGACCCAGTGACTTCAAAATCATACTGTGCATGTGTGCAAGCATGCCCAAGATCCCGGGAGGAGAATGGAAAAGGGAGTGAACCCTGGGGGGATGGTTTCTCGCTTTCCCTCTCACTCTCTCTCTCCAGCAAGCACACTTACCCTAAGGCAAAAACCTCTTAAAAAAAAAAAAAAAAAGAGGGGGAATGTACCCTTTGGGCACTCTGAAATGCTGGACACACGGAGGATCACGTTTCTGTTCCCGAGTTGACCTGTACAGGCTCACACACACATGCCATGGTGCTGGCAGGTTTGTAAAGCTGGAGGAATGCTCACTGCCTGCAACCCTGTTGAAGGTGCTTGTCTCTCTCTTTCATGAGAGAAACTCAGTGACCAATAGGTGCCATGGTGGTTAAAGCAGCTGGATTCCACATGGCTACTACATGGTTTGAGTCCCAGACCTGGAGGTCTGAAAAACAGGCCAGGCGCATGTGCATCATACGTGTGCCTAAAATCCTGAGAGGAAAATAAAGGAGAAGGAATAGCGGTATGGTCGTCTCTAGCCCAGGCCTCCACTGTACCCCTGCCACTGTCTCTCTCTCTGGCAAGCACATGAGCCTGTAGCAAATTAAAAAAAAAAAAAAAAAAAGAAAGCAAGAAAAAATTTTAAAAATTGTAAAACAAGGGAGCCAGCAGTTAGCGTAATGGCTATGTCGCTGGACTCCCACGTAGTCGACCACGGTTCGTGTCCTGGACCCGGTGGCTTAAAACTCACGCCGGGCACGTGTGCGTGTGTGCCCAAGATCCCGAGAAGAGAATGGAGGAGAAGGGATTGCGGCGTGACCATCCCCCCTGGGGGGTGATTTCTCGCTTTCTGTCTCTATGTCTCTCTCTGTCTGTCTGGCGAGCGCACGCGCCCTACAGTGAAAATCTCTCCAAAAAAAAAAAATTAAAAAAAAAAAATTGTAAAACAAAAAAAATTCTTTGGACTAGATGCTACAAACTCTCTTTTTTAACTAGTTGGCATTTACATCTTGTTGGCAAATGGCAAACTCTTTCAAGTAATCAACTTATTAAGCTTGTTTTCTTCTTAGATGACATACTCAAATCCTTCCTCAAGATTATATAAATATTCACTTGCATGTTCTTTCTGGCTTTGTGCTTACACTTAATATTTCCATTGGTCTCAGCCCAGCCATGATGGCACA